TAATCTCGCCATAAGATTAGGTAAGAAGCGTACCTGCTCTTGGGTACCTTTCATGAAACATACTTTGGCGATTTTTAATTTTATCGATGTTACTGGTAACCTTTTCATCATTGCTCTGACCAAAAGGGGGACAACTTCTCTTTCTTAGGTTTTTATTTCACTTTTTTTCCTTCATTGGAGAGGAACATGGCTGACTTTGCGTTCAGTGCGGTCTCTTTGCTTTTTTAGCTCCCCCATAAGTGCCTCTTTGAAAAATTCCCCTTCCAGTCAGTAGAATGATGTTGCCCGTAGAAGGATGTTTGCGCGAAGTCAATCATTTTAAATAGCAGATAACTCTGAGCCTGTAAATATCTGGAAATCAACTGGGAAGCTGCCACATGAGCTTCTAATTTTTCATTATGGAACGGCACAGAGAACTGTTGATAGATTAGCTGGGATACTAAAAGAAGGAAGAAAAAAGGAAGGGAAAGTCAAAAACGAAAGGAAAAACGTGGGCAGCAGCCTTGCCTAGCTATTTATATATAGTGCTGTGATGCATCTGCAAAAATTTTGCAGGATTTTTGCGGAAAGTTCTTGGCATCTTATCTTTCCAGTTGGCCATGACAGCGATATTTTGTATAGCTCTGTATGTAACACCGGAAGTGCATCTCTTTTTGCTGAAGCAGTAAGTTTTTCTTCGAATTTAAGCCTCTTCACATGTACTTGGATGAAATCCAGCATATTACTGAGCAGAGGACAACACCGATCTGCCTTCTGTGCTGATATGAATTCCTCGTTAGTCCACATAAATTTCGGTGATGACCGTACGCTGTTGCATGATGAACAACACGGACAGTATTAGCTGTCTTCGTAAAATCCCGATTCTTGTCATGAAGATTCTCTAGGTTCAGTGTAGTTCCAGTGATGGAATGCGTGAAAATCGCTTAGTAGATGAGTTAAAGCTCATATAAGCATCGGAGAGGATATAATACGTCCAGCATTTTTTTTTCGGATAAACGGTGGAACAATGCGAAGGATACCGGAATCAGGATCAGGTAATGTAGCTGTGGTTACAGGAACCGTAATTCCTGTTAATTCAATAGTGCGATGCTAAGACGATGGTTCATCAAATTATACTGGTGGTGTTGGGGGTCGGCGACATACCCAGGAAAATACCGAAATAGCCAATGTGAAGAAAAAGTAATGGGGAATTATGTGCGAAAGAGCGCATAATTCCGCTAAAATACATAAAACTTACGGTTTTATGTATTTTAATTTGCACTGCATTGGTAGAATAATAGGGATTGGTCTAAGTGTCGTGTGTAAGAAGACGTGTTAGAATGCATTCTTTGTTCCTCTTAGCTGTAAACATAGACTGAATTCTTGCGTGCGGGTAGAAGCAAGAATCGTCGGTATAGCCTGCACCTGCCATGTGCTGAACATTCATATGACTAATTTGCACAACGGATGTAAGAAGGACAGAGAAAGAAAGATAAGTCATGACATGGACATTCATTGTCTGCTATTCATGGACTAGTATTTAATATGAGAAAAGTATGCCTATGACAAGGCTTTTAATCCCTAAATCATGGGGGAAGCGGAAGCTGCGGAGTACAGATCGGTTCCTGAAGCAGAATCTGTGGATGAGATGTCCTATTTTGGCAGTATCGGACCTATGTCTATAAGTGTTTATAAGCCATCCAACCCGGTCCTGGAATCCCTAATCCTGAAAAGCATATGAATTAGTATAGAAAGCTTGGGACTAAACTTCTCGAAATTTGTCATGATTTCCTCAAAAGCAAAGAAAATTATATATAAGGCAGGGGCACCCCAAAATAGACTACGTGTTATTTATATCGGAAACTGGTAGTGTCCCGTTAAGTTATGGCTGAACGTGTCGTTTTTGTCTTTCCTTTTTCCCAGTTTTCTTGGTTCTCGTGCTTTATACAGAGCTAATATCATGATTGGTGGTGCCTTTATCATAAGTCGAAGTGCCACTAGGTTGATTCGGAGTAGCGCTTCTGCTCTGTTTGGGTGTGTGTACAAATTCATCATCGTGTGAAAACAGGTAGTCCTCAACAACAGCAGCGAATTGATCTTGCGTAAGAATTCCGTTGGAGCATGTGTCCAACTCACTGAATACGCGATCCGCCAGCTCATCGTCAAAATCGCCAATTTCTTTTGCTATGTACTGTAATTTATTAATTTACGAAATTTGATGAAAAAGAGAGGCATTTCATTGAAAATAATGGAAACCCAGTACTCTGATATGTTGATCAGTTGTTGCTTCATCGTAACGCACATTCCAATATAGCTTTCACTCTTTCCGTGAGTGCTGTGTCTAAAGCTGCATTAGCAAATGAACTACTTACTAGTAATCTTGGCATTCAAAGATTTTACGGGGATGTCATATATTCCTTCAGCTGCTTCATTGGCCCTTCTGCTCATCTGTTAGCGGTTCTCCTGCACTTCATAATCTGTACTACTTGTGGTGGAATTGCGTTAGGATCTAATCATATTACAGCTTTTGTCGACGTCGGTCTCCAGGCGTAAAGATACCCAAAACCACACTAGGAGGCGATTATTCCATTTTCAATGTGACTCAAAGAATGGAAAAGTGGTGAAATTCTGCTGCTATAAATTTTAAGCTAGTCAGACGGCATCATTCCTACAGTATCTAAGCACTTTTTCACTCTTTTGTCTTCAAGTTAAGTATAGCAAACTTTGAATTCGGCTTCACTGATCACTCCATTGCCGTCTTGATCGAATATCTCAAAACATTGTCTGGTCAGCCCTTCTTTCGTCAGTTTCTTAGCACGTTGCTGCGACTTTCTCAAGCAGTCGCAGAATTCGGCGAAATCTATCTCGCCGTTGCCGTCTTCATCAACCTGTAATGTGCATGCTCCTTAAAAAGTTATCTAGACACACTTTGCCTACGTCGCCTGTATGATAAATTTCTATTCCACCCGTGCATTGTTTTCAGAACTTCGTTTTGTTAAATAACTTATAGTGTTTCACACATGCTTCTTTTAGTAAGTGCGGTTTTTATGCAAAGAATATGAAAGCCACTAGTAGGTATAATGAAATACCGCATGTGCTGAAGGAAATGTATAACATTGTACGAGAATCAAAGTAAGAACTCGAAAATTAGACGGAGTAATGATCGGCTATTGAACTGTTTTGTGAGGAAGATTGGTTACGATCCAGAATCGCTCTAATCGCTCGTTTGGTTTCGGAGGAAGAACTGATGAAAATCCCCCAAATTTCTTGTCATCAGTAATTGACAATTATTACTTCATTGATCAGATCTTCGATATCTTGTTCATGCGCATCCACGCCGATTCGGATCATTGCTTGTTTCAGTTCTTCCTTCCCGATCGCTCCGGAATTGTCCGTATCGAACATTGAGAACAGTTGCCTGAATTCAGCTTCGGTGCATTCAGTCTCGCTGTCGGGCAGTGTCCCTCGACTGATTTGTGACGTTTTGCGTCCTTTGTGGCCCTGAAAAATTTGCTGGTTTTTTTGAAACTTTTAAGTGTTGCCGGCACATTCTGTGGTCACTGCTGCTAGGTGTTATAGCGTCAATTTTCATGCGTTTTTTGCAG